CAGTTTTGTTTTTACTTTTAGAGTACATAAATAAAATACAGAAAGAAATAGAAAGAGAAAAAGTAGATGTTTTTTTAATTGAACATTTTGCTTAAGCAGTTTAATGAACAAACTTGAGAGTCTTAAATCCCGCAAAATGTTTTTTACGGTAAAAAATGTGTCATGTCCCAATGTTCCATTTCCAAAATTAGGGATGTACCGATACGAATACTAGTAACTTCCAGTATCAGGAAGCCGGGAGTACAATCACAATACAAATCAAGACAAGATGGTAAGGAGGGCCCTGCCCCTGAGGGCTTACAATCTAAAAATAGCATGGAGCCGGCTTTCCGGCCAATCAGGAAACTGGGCGGTGAGTCATTACACAGGAAGCTGGCCAATTAGGAAGCCATGCGACAAGTCATTACCCACCCCCCAGCTTTCTGATTGGCCAGACAGCCGGCTCCATGCTTCCTCGTCATCTGGTGACGAGGGAGCATGGAGACAGCTTCCCGGCTAACAGGGAAGCCGGGCTGTGAGTCATTACACAACGCCCGGCTTCCTTAATGCGACTTCCGGTATCTGTATGCCGTAACGGCGAGTACCGAAATAAAAATATCGGTACTCGTTACCGAAAAAACGATATTGGTGCATCCCTAGCCAAAATAACTACTTCTGACAAAAGCCTAAATACCACACACAGGACCAGATTGGGGAAAGGCGCTGAAGGGAGAATAGAATTCTGTTGTAGCTTCTTACCTCTCTCATCAATGTACACACTGAGCCCATAAGGATTAAATGAAGATGCATCAATGCCCTCACTCAGCTGTAGTGGTTCTGGGTGAAGGACGTCATCGTTCAGATCTACCAGCAATATTTCTCCAGGTCTGTCGGGTGCAAAGCTCTTTAGCACAGGAAATTTCAGGCCCTTTAAAGAAATATAACATATTAGGATATACCTGGAAAACAACTACTAATTATATTAGCTGGGGAGCATCAGTTTAGAAATATCAAGTGTTGTTCTTACAGAGCTAATGAATGCCAGTCCATTGGGAAGAACATGAATGTCTTCTGAGCCACACTCTGTAAAATAAAAAATAGCAATCATTGTTAACAACATAGCCATTAGACGTGTAAGCCGGCAAAACATTTGTCTCATTCCTGGGTTTTTTAGCTATTTCGTTTTCGGGATTTTGGATGTCAATTCGATACGGGATTTGGATGGATCCAAAATTGTAGTTTTTCGAACGAGTTAAAAGATATTTACAAATGACTAATAGCCATTCATTTGTACAAAGGCTTGCTTATCTGGCCTCTTTCTATAAACACAAGATGCCTGGGTCTTTCTGGTCCTTTCAGAGGGGTCAATAACATGCCTGTTTATTGGTGGCTTAGAGAGCCAATTAATCACCTTGAAAGCCAGAGAAGAAGGTCTTTCAGAGATCCATATTGTGCCTGTTTTTTGGTGGGTTAGAAAGTGAATGAATCACTTGAAAGTCAGAAAGGAAGACCATTTAGAGAGGTCAATAATGTGCCTGTTGTTGGTGGGTTAGAAAACCAACAGATCACCTTAAAAACCTGTCACGGTCTGGCGACCGGGGCACACAAAATGACTAAAAGTAGCGTGCAAAAAATGGGGTCTGGGATGAAAACACAGGAAGTAGGTGTCTGTGCGTTAACGGTGACGCACTAGAGGCGTAGATTCTAAGAGGGGCCAGGTGTTCGACAGAGCCTCTAATGGTGAGGATGATTGGCTGCTGGACACATTCCAGGTTGCGGCCCTCTAGCACGCCCATAAAGACATAAAGGTTAGTTGCAGCACCAAGGTGCTGGATACAACAGCAGGCAGGGTTGAAGCCTATACACAGACACACAAGTAGGCACAGGTGCAAGAACTGAAGAAGCTGATGGTCAATCCACTGCAGGACGTACAGGATCTCACTGTGAGGAAGAGGGAATCCAGACACACAGGGAACAAGGTAGGTGGTAGCAACCGCAGGGATTACAAAGGCAAGTGATAAACAGGGAGTCCGGCTGAGTGTAAAGACACGTTGCTCGAACGGTAGGGAACAAGTGAGCTGGACTTTTAATGGAGAGGTTCAGAGTGGATTGGCAGGAAGCCAAGCAGCTCAGACAGGAGGTAAAACCCGGCGCCGGATCATCACACAGGGAAGTGTGACAAAGCCAGAGAAGGAGGCCTTTCATAGAGGTCAATAATGTGCCTATTAGTCGCTTAGAAAGTAAATGAATCACCTTGAAAGTCAGAGAAGAAGACCTTTCAGAGATGTCAATAATGTGCCTGTTTGTTGGTGGCTCAAAATTTCTATCTAAACAGATCCCTATGGTCTTTTTCTCTCATCCTTTAAAGGAGAACTATGGGGTTAGGGCTTTTCCCCATAGCTCTCCTTAGGTTAACGGGAGGACACAAACTAGCGTCCCCCCGTCACCCTAGGCTCAGTATAACGCGAGCTACAGCTCATGGTATACTGAGACGCCGCAGCTGAAGCGGATCCCGACAATTGTGCCGGGATCCGCCCAGCTGCGTGACTGACAGCTGGCTCTGCCTATCTAGAGGCAGAGCCAGCTGTACCCGCCTCCTCCCCAGTCCGTTCCGCCAGTCAGCGCTGGAGGATCGGAGCGGGGAGGGGGGAATCCAGCCCCTCCCCTGTCACGGCAGAGAGCCGTGACAGGATCGAGAGGTGAGCGAACGCCGGTATGTGTTCGCTCACTTCCCGATCTACTGAGCCGACCTGTGACAGTCTCGTTGTCACAGGTCGGCTAGGACTATGAGGTGAGTGTAAAGCACTCCCCTCATAGTTCTCCTTTAACTCCATACAAGGTGACTCTCTTTGGGGCCCTGTTGGGGCTCCTCCTGGCAGTGGAGAGCTTTCACACTAAAACGATCATTTGATTTACTTGGAACCTCCAGCGAGCTTAGAGTTCAGTGCTCCACAACCTACAATCCAGAGAAATAAAACACCTGACAGAGGTTCTTACTGCTTACCACCCTATGGAAAACAACAACAACAAGGTGTAGGCTGTAGATACACCTCTCGCGGACGTCAGGGAGCCGCTATCTAAAAGAGGGAGACTCCCTGAACATCAGGGAGACTTGAGATCCCTGCACCCTTATTCTGAACAATGAGGTGACCACATACCGAGAGACAGCACAAGCTGCAGTTTTGCTAGCACCGCTATAAAAGTTCTTATTGCAATATTTTTTCCTGACATCTTGTTAGTAAAACTGATATCACACTTAAACTGCACCACTTCTCCCTCTAAAAAGACTGATGACAGATAACATCGGCTTACATAATGCATATAATGTGAAGGTGCTGGTATGAGTTGTTTTATACATAGTATGGGAACTTACAAATTAGATCATTTAAAATCCAACACCCCCCCCAAATAAAAAAAAGTTAATAAACTATCACATACATACCACTGCCTTTCACAAGATGACAGTTGGGAAGATCAATAGGTTCTAACTTTCTAAAGACACCAGCTCTATGACTGCAAAAAAAATAAATAATCGGGCTTAGCTTCCCAGACATAAATATACTCCAACGCAAACATAATAGCGTGCATAGTATAATTTAAAGGCCTGTATTATTTAAAGCTAAAGTTTAATCTGGTTATATTTCGCCTTCTGCCCCCCTTCTCCCCCTCATCAACACTCTAATTAAATTATTACAATAAACCCTTCTGTTTTCATTACATAACTTATAACCTAACTAATAGCTTACCTAATGGGCCCCCATCCTACCCCAGACCCCATAGCAGGCACATGGGCTGCTCTGGCTATTGTTACCATTCTGCTGGAGTCATTTGTTTTGCTGTTATCCGACATTTGCACACAGATTCATCCTCCATGAGCACTCTGAACTTATCTGGGGCACAAAGGTCAGGTCTGATACTGAGGCTGCTGTGATGCTGCAATATATATTCAGGAATATCTAAAGGAAGGGAGGCATGCCTTTTTATCTTCCTTATCATTAACCCTATACATACTCTCTCCAGCCTGTCTATCTTGTCTGTAAGTTGGTTATTCACTGCCATGCACGGGCATTTTATCCTTCCATTGACACCACTATGCCAAGGGCTTTTTTTCATTCTGTCACTGTTAGCCTCATGTTTAGTATGAGAGTATGGGGCAGTATGTGCACCAGTACCCAACACTTCAATTTGCTATGGCAAACAAAGAACACCACAACCATTGCTTTATATCAGTGCCGCTCAGGCCGCTACTCTTAAAGGAGAACTATGGGGTCAGGGTTTTTCCCCATAGTTCTCCTTAGGGTAACGGGAGGACACAAACTAGCATCCTCCCATCACCCTAAGCTCCGTATACCGCGAGCTACAGCTCGTTATTTACTGAGACGATCGATGACACAAAACAATATGGCATTAAGTCATGGTCAGGTTCTAGAAATGTGCTGAGATGAATCAAGAAACAGTATTCACTACAGCGCGGTGTAAGTCCAGCTTTTACATTTTGTAACTGCTGGAATTTGTAGTGCCTCAGCAAGTTAAAGGACACTGCCTAAGGCCCCTTTCACACGGACACCTTCAGTTATGATCAGGTGGGGGTCTGTGCATGGATCCACCTGCTGATTAGAGCCGTTTGGAACAGATGTCTTGCAATGGGGAAAAAACGTAAATTATCGGACCCATGTTGGTCTATGGGAAGTCAGATGTAGGTGGACATGTGTCCATTTACATCAGATTACCCCTGGCCCTGACGCAATCAGGTTTGGCAAAATGGAATTCTGTTCTGCTTGTCTGTCACCCCAGACTCCAGACCTGGCTGGGTCGGGGGTAACCGGATGTAAACGGACATGCATCTGTTTAAATTCGGCTGCTTATAGATTAACATTGAGCTTCCGATCAGATCCATCTGAAAAACTGACAGGCAGATGTGATCGGAATGCCCGTGTGAAAGGGCTCTAAGCAGTGCTGAGGTACATATGATGCAACAAAGTATCCCTATAGAAGTCTATATAGAGCAAAAGTAACACAATGTCACCTTTGTTATTGTAGAAAAGCTTTTTCCTCCACCACACAGACAAAGATAAGGAATGCCATTTACCTGAATTGAAATATTCGTTCCCCCAGAAATCCCAACATAATCCCGAGAAGGGTTAATTTCAGCATTGTGCCTATGTCCGTGCTGCACTAAGCGAGAGCTTGCCTGTACTGTGCTTGGTGAGAGCTGTGACAGTTACTGAGGGTGGTGCCTCGGTGACAATCCCTGAGGCTGTGACATCCACAGGAGCCTGGAGGCAATACTATCCATGTCACAATTCCAAAGACCTGCATGATAGCTGGCCATACACTAACATATTTTTGTTTTTGTTCAGTCTGCAGGCTGAGCGAAAAAAAAAACGAACAGATTGCTCCTTCCACGCTAAGCAGTGTGGATGGATGAATCTTCGACTGTGGCTATTGTATTCTGACAGCCTGCGCACGCCACTGTCAGAATACCGAACAGTAGCTGCAGCTTTTTCGACAAAAGTCAATTGAGTAATCGATGTTTGTCAAACCGGAAGGGCCACCTACTATAAAGATGGCTATACATTGTGAGGTTTTTCTTGCTCAGCACCATGGGCTAAGTAAACAAAAAAACTCAAGATGGGGAACACTACCCCCCCTCCCCCCCGCCGGGTTATGTCAGCTGATTGGCTGTACTCACTGTTCCAGCAAGAATTATCGGACCGTCTCCTTTGGCAAAAATCAATTGAAAAAGAGGGTGGCGAAGGGGCACACACTGCCCAAATTTTAGCTTATTCAAAGGATTGGGACGATTCAATGGATGGCCTAAGAATGTATTTTGAGACTTTTAAATAAATACATAAAAAGTAACAAACTATAAACAAAAATCAACAAAAAATAGATGTAATATTATTCCTAAAGCCCAGCTCCAGTCAAAACCTTTTCTCTTGTTTGGGTCAGAATGGGGGAAGAATTAGAACCCCTCTCAGGAACTCTCGTTAGATATAAAAGACACAAATTCATGCTTCTCCTTTACAGCAGCACTCTGGGACTGGGAGAGGAATGTGATGGATCAGAAGTCTATCAGCTGAGCTGCTTGCAAATAAGTTGATAAAGAACATGCTGATAGGAAGAGAAAGCAGAGTGAGCAGACAGGTGTCCTCATCTGTTGCTTTTTCATTGTCAGATCACTGGGCTGGGAGTGGAGAGAGAACACAGCTGTATGTACAGTATATACTGTATTTGGCACATGCTGCTTCCTAATGCAAACTTTTTTGGTAAATCGTTTGTAAACTTTCTTATCAGGAGATCCTGCCAGTAACAGCACTTCCAGTAGAATGCTGACAATGTTAAGCGTGTGCTCCTTTAGTTGGCCATCGGACTGTCTATCAGATAAGCAGCCCAAAGGCCAGCTCAAGGATCTTGCATATGGCAGGCTGGAAACAGCGATGTTACTGGTAGGATCTCCAGTTATGAAGCTCTGCAACAGATTCAAGAAAAATGGTTTGCCTAAGAAAGCCGTGTATAGTGAGGGACAATGCCGAAGAAGATGCAAATCAGACTTTGGGTTTTGTGCTGTCACAATAGTTGTATAAAAATGACACAATCCATAGCCAAAGTTAGCGTTCATATTAATGTTAAATGAGAATGATATACGTAGTTTATTTTCCTTATGCCATTTGCTCAATGGTATTGTATAGCTGATTATTATACTGACATCTTGTGGTCATTTTGGGTTATTGTTTTACCGAGTTCCCTTATATCTATGATGTCTTTCCCCTTTCTTGTTCAGTACTAGTCGATAGACATGTGCACAGCAAAAAAAATGTGTTTCCAGACGTAACAAATGAAAACGAAAAACGTTTACATTCGTTTCATCAAAGGAAACACATTTTTATTTATTTCTCTGCCGCCGCTCGTTCTGCGGCTTTAGTGTGCGGCGTGCGCGCCCACATTTTGGAGTAGATCTTGCTATACACTAAGATGGCGGCGCCCGATTTGGCTGCCACTCATTCAGTGTATGGCGCAGCGCATGTGACGTCACACGCTCCACCTCGAGGATGACGGCGGGCATGCACAGAACACGCTGGTGACCAATATGGCCGTTGGCGTATTCTGAAAACTTATTTATGTATGCCCAAATATCGTTTTACTATATTCATGCATATATTAAATTCATCATTTCGGATTCGGACCAACCGGTGAATCAACTGATTTTCGTTGATTTGCAGGTTCGTCTGAATCCGAATGCACATGCCTTCTAGTCGAGTGTCATGGCTGCTTATAACAGGACCACATGTATATGCTAGCTTGAACCATTATCATCCTTGACCAGTTTAAATACCATCTATTCATGTATCTGATGTATCCTATGGTCTGCTGCCTGGAATAAAGCACTTTGTGGATGAAAATGTATTTGGTGAGTTCAGCTGTCTGATAAGAATTGTCCGCAGTGATTATATCTGCTTATACAGGCCAGACATAGAGGTCTGAGCAAGGGATAAATCGCTAATACAACAATCGAAGTCAGGATAGGTTTGCAGACACTTTAATTGTGATGTGATCCAGCTGGCTGTGCTGTGTGAGGGAACTGTGCAAATCATGGAACTGGATGGACAGTAATACAAATCCCCTGGAAGGTAAAATAGCTCCCTTATATTTATTCCATGAACCCCTCTCTGTTTAGCTGTTTTCACTTCCTGTCTCTCTAACACCCTGACAAATAACAGGAATTCACCAAAGCTTGAAAGCTTTGCTTTATCGTTCACAAGCTGGGCCAGAAAAAGTTGGAGATTGTGGAAGTTGTCATAAGATGGTGGTGATATATGCAGATAATATTAAAACGGCACAAAACAGTAGCAAGGATTTTGAGTTTTAAAATATTGTGAAGTAGTTATACTAAAGCCGATGAAATGCACGGCTAGCTAACTGGTGCAGTGTCATTCTGGTGGATTTCATTCTTTCTGGACAAACCTGCGTAGGATCAGCAGGGCCCCTACTGCAAAGGAACTCTGTTCAAGGTAAACACCTCATAGGAATGACAGATATTACATTCTAACCTTACTTCAGGTCCCCACCATCCCCTTGCTGCTCTATATTGGGTCACTGAAAGTGATATTAATGTCAAAAGTTTTTTTTAATCTATTTCAAATGCTGATGAAATCTCTTAAAATGGATGCTGCTTCTTGATGTTTAAAAGTTTTAGTTTCCTGCAGATTCAGCTGGTCCCCTGAGCACTGGTCCTCATATCCTGTTTTAGGGCGTCTCTTTTCCCTTGCAGGGTCCTATGGAGCCACCCTTGTGTGCGCTAGTAAGCTGTGTGTGTCTCCACAAACATACAGGCACTGCAAGGCAAAACAGTCCCCTGCTCCATGCTCCTCCCTTTCCCAAGCTAGTTGATGGACAGCTGTTGGAGATTGCTCTGCTCCTTGTGATCTTGTATGTTGTGATTGAGTGGTATCAAATCTTGGTGAAATATTAATAATAGAGTGGTGTCTGAATTATATTTAGATTTAATAGACAAGTGCCTCCAGCCGATTACGGCAAGGTAATAAATAACTTAACAAACAGTATGAATTCAGTTCAGACACTTGATAATACACCCCAAACCAATTCCCTGAGTTCTTTGAGCTTATGGAGATTTCTTACCACAATATATACAGTGGGGCAAAAAATAATAATAAAATGTAACCGCTATGATTTTGGAGTAAAGAAGGTTAATTCTTCATATATAATCAGTATCTCACCAATCCTTCAAAAAAAAAATGTTCAGAGTCTTATTGGATGAGATGATGGCTCGTTTTAGGCAGCAAGGGTTAAGTCTTAGCAATGGTCAATGAGTGACAGTCCTTATGTTACATCCAGGAAGTTTTCTTCAGAGCTCTCTTTCTCTCCTCTTTTTTCTTCTTTTCTCTTAGTTTGGTAATATGGTTTGAAAGCATTGTTTGTGTTGGCGACTCCCCAACCACTATTTACTTTCTTCCAATTGATCGGTTCAGAAATGGTAGTTGATTGGTTATTTCACTCATATCGTTTGCATTCAGTTGAGTAAGCCTTGGATGTGTATGATAACTTACTCAACCTCAGACAATAATCATAGGTGATCTCATTCTTGGAACAATCAGGGGGATTAACTGTCTTGGAGTTTGTAAGGGTTTTTTGTAAATTTTTCATTTGTAGTTGTGATATCCTTAGCCTTTGTATTTCTTGATTTAACACTGGTAATGATTGACCTTGAAGTTAAGTTTCTCTCAGTATTGTCAATTGTGGTTTTATGATTATCTAATCCTTAGACTTCATTTGCAATGTTTTACCTCTTTGAATCAGTTTGGTTGAACAAAAGCTGGTTCCTAAAGGGTCTCTCCTGTATTGTTTGTGTCTTGCTTAATTTGTACACAATAGGCTATTTTGGTTGATTAATTTATCTGTCCAGCACAGACTTCTGGCCCCTTGCACAGAAAAGTTTGATTTAGTTTCTGTACAAGTCATAGTTCATCAGTTTTTGTAATTTTATATAGAAATAACCTGACATGTACTAGACAGGAAGTTTAGGGAAGCTGAACTGAGAGAGTTGGAGCTGTTTGGAAACATAACTGTGAGTGCCTTGGCAAAAATGTAAAGAAATGCTTTGTTGGGCGATGTATATGTTTTTGATCTGGATTCATCATTGAAAACAAAGTTTGAGAGTTTAACACTAGTTTAAAACAACTGAAGGTGCCACGTTATAATGAGCCTGCATTCTGCCCACTGGGCAAAGTTACGGATTTGCTTGACTATAGGGAACATATCTGGGTATCTGTTTCTTAATACAGCAAACTACCAGTTATTTGGCACCCAAGGGGATCGGTAGATGCTGGATAACTGCACCCTGCAAAGGAAGAGCTGATAAGGCTGGAGAGGGTGGATCCTACGGCACCGAGAGTGTCATCAAATCTATTTCCTCAGACTTCAATCTGATACCATCAGAAAGCTTTCCCAATTTTCTGCAAGTAGCGTCAGTTTGCTATTTTTAACATAGTATTTCATACATTTGGCACTTCTATTGTATGTTTTTATGGTAACGTGATAGGGTGGGAGATGGGAGCGTGGTGCATACATTTATAATTGGGGGAGCAGTTTGACTCTTGGCTTTTTTTCACTTTCACTGCCACTGTCACGTTAGGTGGAATGGATTTGGGTATTGTCCATAAAGCTCAATTATGTCACCA